CTTGTAAATTTGGTTCTTTAAGTAACCCCACAAGAAGTAATCAAGTGGGTTTAGATCTGGTGATCTGGGAGGCCACTGTATTGGGCCATTTGTTCCTATCCACTGATCATTAAAAGTAGTACTTAGAAAATGATAAGTACCTCTGGAGTTGTGGGCAGGTGCGCCATCTTGCTGAAAATGCAGATGATGTCTACTTATAAGATCCAATTCGTCTAAGAAATTAGTCAGAATTTCTGACATAAATTCCACATATCTTTCACCAGTTAGGGTTCCCTCATAAAAGAACGGGCCAACAATTTTTGAACCAATTATACCGCACCAAACGTTGAAACTGAAACGGACTTGTGGGCCTCTTGGATGTACTAACAAAAGATTTTCTCTTGACCAATAATGGTGTTTTTTTCTATTAAACATTCCAGAATTTGAAAAATTTGATTCATCTGTCCATAAAAGGTAACGAAAGTTATTTACATTTTGGCGACAGAAGCTAAGATACCAATGGCAAAAAACAAGTCTTCTCTCTGGATCCCCTGCCAAAAGCCTTTGAACTGGTCGGTACTTATACGGAATAAATTTGTATTTTTTTAAAATCCTTTGAACAGTACCATAACTGAAATTAGAGTCCTTGAGAATATCTGCTATTGAATTCTCACGATAAGCTTCAAAATATCCAATAACTGCAATTTCCATGGCCTCGCTTATTATGAATTCTTTTTTTGCCCTTGTTTTAGCAAAAACATTTTCGTTGCCCCTAAATTTTCGATAAAGTCTCAGAAAATATCGTTCATACGGTTGAATGCGAGCGGGATATAATTCACTGTAGTATTCTCTTGCTCTCAAGGAGGATTTTCTGCACACTAAATAGCATTCTAACATATCACACTTTTCTTCATGGGAGAACATTTTTCTTTAAATTAATGACACAATAAAGCTTATAAACAAGTATTTACACTAATGTTTGACATTATTTGATTTTATCATTGTTTTCCAAAGCCTTCTAGTTGCGAGTATGTCCAGTTTAACAATTTGTCGCTTATCTTAATGCTGTCAAATCGCGAACGCCATGTTGTTTTCATAGCCGTCTTAATATTATAATACTGCAAATAATTAAAAATATTTATCGTTATTTTGACTTTATTTTTGACTTTAGCGGAAAAGTCATTATGAACTTTTTTGTTTAAAATTTGATGCTTTAACAGAAAAAAATATAATATACAGGGGTTTCCATTTAAAAAAATGTTATTTTACTGAAAAAAATCAAAATAACGACTCTCAATTGTTTTTTTTTTATTTCTCATTTTTACCAGCGTTAAAAATGCTACTAGTTTGCTAATTCAAACAACTTTGTATTTTCACTAATAACAAAGTTACTAATGGTGGACACTTAATTTGGATAACCCTGTATACGGACTTACATTACCAAGTAATTTACGAACGCACCCCAGTGTGTAAGTGTCCTGTCATCTTTTTATTGATCAGGTTCGTCATACATAGGTAATGTTTTGTTTTTGCCTTGAGGTTGGTACCATGGTAAATGTATTGGAATTCTTGATTTGAATGAATTTGATTATGTAATGCCTGAACTTTTCCAAGTTGTCATCATATCGCATGAAAAGTACAGGGATTGCCTGAAACTTCTTTACGGAAATTTCTTCGATACTCTCACGATACATGTTCGTCGATGTGTCTATCAGTAAATCTTTATTTGTTTCACGTAGCTGAACAACGATTGTATCGGTTTTATAGCATTTGGCAAAAGCTTTGATTGAAACACGTAGTAGACGCTTTAGTTTTATCACTCGCAATATCGGCGTCTGTAAGAACAAAATACGAATCCATACCAACACTACTTCGCAAGATTATGGCGAGAAATGTGTTATTATCGCCGTGTCAAGTCAATTAGTCATGTATCAATCAGTTAAAAACCCAACAAATAATACCAGGCACAGAATATTTGGAAAATGAGGCTGAGTTGATATATCTAAATTTTGTTGTTAGAGTAGTATAAAGTACACACAGCCCGGATTGTATCTATCGAAATATTGAATCCTAAATTCAGCCTTCGTCAATCTAAATTGTAAAGATAATAATTCTAATATCAAAATCATAAAACACGAACGCGTCAAATAACAAAGGTTGGTATCTAGAAAAAAGAATCAACAGCTTTTGAGTCCTTGGCATAATATTAACCTTTTTTAAATTGCATCAAAAGTATAAAACGTTTTCAGTGGTGTAGAGTAAAATTAGTTTTAATTATAAACTTCTCCACCACTGTACAAAAATGCAGCATTCTCGTCGCTGACTCGTTAGCCCGCTCTAGTTCCGTTTTCTTTTAACTTAATATCCTTGTGTTTTTTGTCCAAATGATGTCTACCTAAATCCGTAACGCGCCTTGGAACATGATACCCTCAAAGATAATCAGAAAATCGTGCTGTGTTTTCAGGTATCTGTGGTCTCTTTGTTATTAAAGGACTTTCAGGATACTCCTAGACATAAGAGTCTGTTAAACTGCATACAGGCCCCTCGCTGCAAAGCATTGACTCTAAGCACGTGCATTACATGTGTGCCATTTCCTCAAAAGTTACTATTACAAGAACAGAGACAAAAACTGTTTAAAGAAATTTTGCAAAGAAAATTACGTGAATAATTATTTAACGTGAAACCTCTACGCAGAATTGTTTTTTTTATTTTCCATGGCTCTAAACCAATTTAGTCCAGTGACATACAATAAAACGATTTTCATTTTTTTTTCTCTCGAAAACGAAGTGAGATATGAAAAAGGCAAGACGACAAGAAGTTGTATTTTTAGATGCTGAGTCAGACAACGAATATTTAAATTACAAAAAAGGCAGTGGCGTACATTTTAATCAATAATATGCTTAGGTACCCCCCAGGATGCCACTGGCCCTATTTAGGCTAAATTAGCCTCTTAATACAACAAATATACTAAGTGACACATAAATCCGAACACCCAGTTTAAATGGTTTTATTTTAATAAAATTTTGTATAAGTACTTAATGAAGCATAATAAGTAAATGATAAAAATTTCAAAATGATTGCACTGCTTTAAAGCCCTTTGACCTTTAATAATGTGTGGATGCACCCTGATGTGCTACGCGTTCTCCAACGCAGCTAGGCATGCTTCTGATCAGGTGGTCAATGTCCTCCTGTGGTATCTCATTCCAGGCAAATACCAACTCCTCTCGAAGTGATTCTAGAGTCTGAGGAGGACGTTGCAAATTGAGCAATCTCCTACCCATCATATCCCACACGTGCTCAACTGGGGATAAGTCGGGAGATCTTGGTGGCCATGGTAACAATGTGACATCATTATGTTGAAAGAAGTCTATTGTGACTCTTGCAACATGTGGTCGGGCATTATCTTGTTGGATCTGCCAGGGTGTCAAGATAGGATAAAAGATGGGGTTCTAGAACTTCGTGGATACAACGCTGCGTGTTCATGTTACCTCTGATGAAGATTAAAGGTGACCTGGAACCATAAGCTATAGCACCCCAAACCATAACTCCAACAGTGTGATGAACATGTCTTTCAACAAAAAACTGTGGATTCCTCCTTTCACCACGTCGCCTTCTAACCCTGGCACGACCATCGTGCATGCCTAAACAAAATCTACACTCGTCACTAAAGACAATACTGTTCCATTCCTTATCCCAGAGCGACCGTTGTCTGCACCACTCAAGGCGATTACGTCGGTGTTCTCGAGTTAAAGGGAGGACCCAGTGTGGCCGGTATGAAAACAAGCCAAAACTTCTCATTCGTCGGTAAACACTTCGCATGCCAATAGGTCTTGAGTGTTCTGCAAACCATTTATTTGCAATGGACCTGGTAGTGGAGAAACGGTCCCTTAAGGCCAATAATCTTAGGCGGCGATCTTCACGGTCTGTTGTTCTACGGCGGCGTCCAGTGTCCCTTGCTCTTTGCGTACGGCCTTCTCGAAGCCATGCCTGACAACACCTAACCACAGTGTCTACACTTCTTTGCACTCTAACTGCAATTGCCCGAAAAGAAAGTCCAGCTTCCCGAAGTCCCACTATACGGCCCCTATCAAACTCACTAAGTTGACGAAATCGCACAGGTCTCCGTACTTTAGGCATCGTAACCGATCGTAAAGGATGTCAAGAACCAAAATCCGCCAACGTTGATTCTTTACTGCGGCTGAAATATTCATTTTTAGAGCGTTAGTGAATTAAAAAAAAGCAGTATGAAAACCGGAATGTCCAACTGATAAGGCTGAAAATTTATTCACTTTTTATTTACAGTAAGAAAAATACATTCACCGACTTTTGTTAAAATAAAACCATTTAAACTGGGTGTTCGGATTTATATGTCACTTAGTATAATATTGGCTAGTTTTTTGAGATGTTAATTTTTTTTTAAATTCGTCACCCTGTACCTGTTTACAGAAGCTTTTTTTCATATTTTTAACAGTTAAAGTATCTCCGTCTATTTTTTGAACATCCTATATTTTCTTTTTCCTATTATCTATTAATCTTTCTCTTTTATGTGTGTTTTTTTTTTCGTTTTGTGGCATACAGACTGTATAAGTTAAATGACTGTACTATGTATTGTTCTCTAAGTGGTACAAGGTTTATTATTATTATTATATACTTAATTAGATCTATACCTCTTGTTCGTTGTGAAACTTTGTGCTCATCAAGACTTTTAATTAGAAGTTAGTAATTAACGACTTAAGTTCAACAAATTCCACTGTACCTCATTTTCCACATTTTTGTGCCGTATTCACAATAGTAAGTGATTAAAGACCATGCTTACGTTAAGTGTGAGATGATGTAAATGTCCGCTTCACCGCACGAAATAACAGTTGTTGTAATTTCATCTTTTGTACCACGTGTTTGCAGAAAGACTCTTACACGAACGCGTTCGTACGTTTGTCGTCATAACCAGATGCTACGCTCAACGCAGAGCACGTTGCAATTACTCATTTCATTTTCTCAACACGAAATTTCGTTTATTTTCTAACTCTACTATTCAATGAAGCTTCTAAGCGTGACTGTAATAAATGCTGTTTTGTTTCAGTGTCTACTATGATCAGCGTCATCCTATCATTGAGTTCCTGCGTTCAAACTGGATTAGGTAAGTACCGTCAAAGTTTACCGAATGACGTTTAATGGGTATCATCATGATCTATTGTTGAAATTAGCTAAATAGGGAATTGGTGGATAAAATTGTACTGCTAGAGTGAAACGGGTAACATCAGATAAACTAATATTACTCAAGGTGTACCACAAGGTTACGTACTGGGACCAGTACTGTTCTCACTATACGTCAACAATTTTGAGCACTTCTTCTCCGCAGACCATTCTACGTTAAATGCAATCATTCTACCAGGTAAAAATGATACAAACCTATACGACACCGGCAACTGCCTACTAAACAACAGCATCAGTAACTAGTTTTAGGATAATCAGCTCCATTTGAACTGTGAAAAGCCCGCTGAGATACGATTTCCTAATACCCAAAGGTCAATTGCGTCAACGTTACAATTTGTTCTGGATGTTCTGTGGTACGCCTCGGTGCACCAGTTGGCCTCCTTCGTGTTCCTCTACCTTCTTCTATCCACACACGACATACACGCAATACCGTCATTGCAGTACAACTAACACGGCGGCCAATTTAGGCTGGAAAACCCTATCTATACAGGGTGACAGGTAAATAGGTGTAAAAAATTTTAGGAGGTGACAGTACAGCTCCTTTGCTATCAAAATTGGTATATAATACCATACCCTATATTCAAAGGTTAAAAAGTTATGGAAGATTGAATTTTTTTTAAAAAGCAACCCAGATTACAGAGTAAAATATTTGAGATAAAAAAAGTTGGTGATTAAACATTCTTTTTTTGGTGGTTTCAGATTAACATATTATTTAAATAGATAATTCTCATAAATTGAAAAGCATATGAAAACACTACTGAAAACGTATTTATTTTCATTTAAATGTTAAATGAAAATTATTATTTTCAACTTTCACATTAAGAAGTCTTTTTTTCCAAAAAAATCATAATAAAGAAAATGTATAAATAACTGCAAAAACTTCCTCGTTTCATTAGGTTTCTAAAATGGTATAATAACATATCAGTAAGTAAACCATTTAACAAAACAATATTACTTTGCTAGAAAGGACCGCTAAGCGCATTTCATTGTACTGAGCAGGTAAACCGAGCCTTTCATGGTTCGACCCTTTTTGTTATTTTTTGTGCCCTGCGCCGTTATTCGGGTTTAAGTATTCGGAATCTGTTGTCGCTCCTCGGAAGCAAGCTCTGCCTGTGCTATGAATTGACACAGCTGACGGATCAAGGAAAGGGAACTAACGCTTAGGTTAGTTAGTAGAATATCAACCTTTAACGCGGTAGGACGTACTTTTAATTTTTTGATCAGTTTTAATAATGGCGAGTTACCGTAACGAAGAATAATATGCTGATATTCTGTTTTGTTATGGTTTAAGTGATATGAAATTCCGTTGAAGCCAGGCGAGAATACGAAAACCGTTTTCCGAATCGGCGAATACCGAGTCATCGAGTATTTGCTTCTGTGTACCAACGCGTCAAGGAAAGTGGACAGGTTCATGAGAGACGTCATGATGCTGGTAGACCTCGGTTGTTTGACGACGAAGATCGAGAGGCAATACTGGAATGCTACAGCAGAGACCCGACGACGTCTACACGAGTTATAGCAAAGCAGCTTGGTATTAACTCAGTGGAAAGTTTGGTTCGTTTTGCATTCGGCGAGACTTTACCCTTTCCATTACACACCGGTTCAAGTATTACAAGAAGGAGATCCCGCAAGAAGAATTGATTTTTGTCGATACATGCTTGATCGGGATCAAGAAGAAAACGACTATTTAACTAAAATATTGTGGACCGACGAGTCTAAGTTTGACAGAGAGGGGACAACAGATTATCACAACTTACATTATTGGGCCCCACGAGAGGCAAATCCCCACATGGCAAAAGAAGATTTTCGGCAAACGTGTGGATGGAAATCATTCATACGTAAAAAGACAAAATTATCAATATCTACTAAAAACATTGTTTGTTAATAGGCATTTCATCAATTTCAAATTGAAAAAACATCTTTGTGAAAGCCTAGTTCTCTCAAAAATCAACTGCTGCCTTATAGTTTTCTATCCTTACTTAGATCAAGTCTCAATTCGCAGACTTCAACTGATTCAAAATTCGTGCTGTCGCCTCATCTACGGTTTAAGAAAATATGACCATGTTTCACACTGTATTCGTAGTTTAAAATGTTTAGATATTAATAGCTCTTACGAGTATTTTATCTTGAAGTTCATTCATAATTTGATTATCACGGGAACTCCCGAATACCTCTTCAAAAAAATTGTCTTCAGGCAATCCGTTAGAGATCGCATGCTGAGGTATGGCAAATTATTAGATATTCCACGGCACCGTACGGCTTTATTTACTCGCTCTTTTAGGTATAATTGTGTCAAACTGTATAACGTGCTACCTGATGCATTCAAAAATTTATCTCGAACTAAATTTAAAGTTTGTGTCAAGCAGCATTTGCTATCAAAATTGACTCGTAGTAGTAATTAAGTAGTAGTTTGTAGTTTAGATTAGTAACCGCCAGAAAAATTTTATTTGACGTGTTGCTGAATCTGTTTATATTTTCTATATTAGGTCTTGCAATATTTTTGTTTTCCTTTGGTTAGCCACTGTATATATACATGTTAATTACATGTATTTACATTGATTCACAACCATGAAAATAATAGGGTTAAGTGGAAGAGTAGCTATTTAGCTAAACTTCCCCCGATACTATGTAACTTTATAAATAAAGACGATTTATTATTATTATTATTATTATGTATGAAAAAATGGATTCCAAATATGCTAAAATAAGAGTACTTACAAAAAATCGAGAGGTATCATTTTAACCACCGCGGTAGAATCTGTTTGCTATTCTGCTACATGCTAACTCTGTATTTTCGGTTTATAATTGGATTACATGTACTGCGGCTTATTTTGCTGTTATTAACACCGCTACCTGTTGAGATTGAACAAAAGCCTGAAAGCAGACACCATCACATCGTCTCTCCGAACATTTTCTATCATCCGGGCGACACCGGTAATGGCATTAACTGTAATCGACTGAAGCCGTCAGAGGCACATGTGCGTTGTGGCTTTCGCTACGAAATGCACCGAATCCCATAGATTCCAGATAATGTCTTTTCCGCTGTCACTTACTGTCTAGAGCTTCGCGTCGAATCCGTACTTTAAATTTTGAAGCTCACGCATGAGAATCAAGACTAAGAGAAACGCGCAGTAATATGGACATATGATCAAGTATTTTAGCATACAGGGTAAATAGGTGTAAAACATTTTAGGAGGTGATAGTACAGCCCCTTTGCTATCGAAATTAGTATATAATACCATACCCTATATTCAAAGGTTGAGAAGTTATTGAAGATTTGAGATTTTTTTTAAAACAATCCATATTTCAGAGTTAAAAAGTCGAGAGAGAAAAAATTTGGCGATTAAACATTTGTTTTTTGTGGTTTTGGGTTATTATTTCAATAATTAACTATTATAAATTAAAAAAGATTCGAAAACAATACCAAACAACGTATTTATTTTCATTCAAAGATGTTTAACTAAGAAAAACAAATAACGTTTTACAGTGAGATGTTTTACAAAAAAATCTGTATACAAAAAACCTACAAACAATTTAAATAATATCCTTGTTTCATAAGAAGTCTAAATTGGTATGTGTGCACAAAAACTGTGTGAAACTAAACATAATGTATTGTAATACAACGATAGGGAGTAAATTTACCAATGGCTTGTCTCCTATTTTCACAACTCTCTGATTGATAAGAAAGTGTTTTTGTGAAAATAATGAAACTGTAAGCTATAGGATAGTTATTATTTTAAACTACGGTTAAGTTACAGGGTTAGATTATTTACACAGTTGTAATTGTACTACAGAATAATAAAAACTGACTAAAAGTTACTACAATTGGTAAGTAAAATACAATAATGAAATGAAGGTAAAATTCATTGCAATTGTTGTTCGAACTGACGCCCGCCGTTTCTTATGCAAGCCCGTAGTCTTTTTCTCATGTTGGTACGCGTGATGCGGCCATTTAGTTGTCCTCTGATAGTGTCAGCAGCAGCAATAATTCTTTCTTTCAACTGTGCAAGAGTGACTATGGGCTCAGCGTACACCAGTGACTTCATGTGCCCCCATAAATAATAGTCACACGGTGTTAAATCTGGGCTCCTCGCTGGCCACGGTGTCGGTCTACCTCGGCCAATCCAGCGGCAAGGATATTTCTCGTCCAGCCACTGTCTAACACCCAGACGGAAATGCGCGGGACAGCCATCGTGTTGGTAGATCATCTGCATCCTGATATTCAGAGGCAGGTCTTCGAGATACTCCCAGAGTTCGGATCTCAAAAAGTTTTCATAGGATTCGCCATTCAGGTTGTCAGGCAAAAAAACTGGTCCAATTAGATACGTATGAATGATTCCCATCCACACGTTTGCCGAAAATCTTCTTTTGCCATGTGGGGATTTGCCTCTCGTGGGGCCCAATAATGTAAGTTGTGATAATCTGTTGTCCCCTCTCTGTCAAACTTAGACTCGTCGGTCCACAGAATTTTCTTAAAATAGTCTGGATCTTATGTATCTACATGTAACTTGTACCTGCAGAAATCTAATCGTCTTGCAGGATCGCCCTCTTCAATCACATGCACAGGCGTGTAGTGATAAGGGTATAATCTTGCAGTATGCACAGTAAACCATAGCTTGTATTGTGATATACTCAACTGAGCAGCCACAATGCGCGTAGATGAAGTAGGGTCTTCCTGAAACACAGGAAGGATTTCCTCTTCATCTTCAGGAGGATAGACTCGGGGTCGACCGGTATGACGGATGCGCCGATATACAGAGTCAAACACAGTAACATGAGGTGTTCGGCGATTCGGGAAACGTTGCCGATATTCACGGCGGACTGCTGCAGAATCGCCGTTGCAAAGTCCATAACACAACGTTATGTCCGCGTATTCTTCATTTGTAAAAGTTCGCCCGTGCTCGCTATGGCGAGGTCCTGGCG